CGCCGGGCCCCCTGCCCGCTGTGTATGGCCGCAGCGGCCGCTCGCTGCCTGGTCCTGGCAGGGACCATCCTCTCCCCCGGCAAGGGGAAGGGAGACGCTGGGAGCTGGTGCCCTGTCCTTGGCGCCGGGGCCGGGGGCACCTCCCGGCTGCACCAGCCGATCCCTCCCTCTCTGCCGCCCGTGGATGCTGTGGCACCATTCCCGTCTCCGCCATCCAGACTCGGTATCGGGAGCCATGAGAAGGGGCAGCGCTCGGCCGTGGCGCAGGGAGAGGGGGAGAGCGAGCTCGCAGGTTGTTATCTGCAGCAAAGGGACAGAATAAATTCAAATAGATAAGCAGTTCCTGGACGAACTGTGGCTAGATTGCCACAATCTGGGTTTTAATAGCAGTTTCTAAATTTCCTTGAGCCAGTAGTTTTGGCTCCTAAGGTCGCTCTTCCTTGAGCTCCCTTCTGTCTTGTCTAGACGTTAGATGGGTGAGCAGCACCTCCTGGGGCCTCTCAGAACTGAATGTGTCCTGGTCCTCTCTCCTCTCCCTCTCCCTCTCCCTCTCCCTCTTCCTCTCCTCTCTTCTCCTCTCTACAGACTCACCATGGCAGTCGAGAGGATCCACGCCCGTGAGATCCTGGACTCTCGTGGGAACCCCACTGTCGAGGTGGACCTATACACACACAAAGGTACGCGGACGAGGACGAGAGATGGAGGGGAAGTCCTGCCCGCCCCAGCGGAGCTGGCACTGCACGGCAGCCTGGCACGCGCTGCCGAGAGCACGGAGGGTCTTCTCCAGGGAACCCCTGGCAGACAGCATGCCAGGGGAAGGGGCAGAGACCCAAACTCTGCTTGTGCGTGTGCTCGGCAACTCCGCACATGTGCCGGGCAAATCACGACGAGACAGCTCGCTGCCGTGTGTCTGACTTGAGCCGTGCGCCTGCTAGTAGCAAGGACAGAAAACTTAGTTAACGTATTTACCTTCTTGTCCTGTCCCCGCGATGCCCTCCTGCAGCTGTGCTTTTACTCCTGGGACACATTGCGAGTTTGGAAGCACATCCATGGCCGTGCTCATGAGGTGGGGGAAGGTTTGTCCCCAAGATCTCTGTGCAGGCACAGGACGTGCACGTGTGTCTCAACTGGAAGAGCTGCATCTCCGCCCAAAGCTAGTTGGGCTGAGCGGTGAGGGGCCAGAGAACGCATCTGACCAGACTCTTCCTTCTTCACCGAGGCAAAAACCCAGCCCCAGTCTGAGCGGGAGGAAGCCGCTGGAGGCTGGGGGTCAGGCTGCCTCTGAATTAGGAGAAGGGCTGAGGACCCAGACTTCCACCCGTCATCCGTAGTTCTGGGAATGGTGTGGACCTCTGGGTGCCTGAGATGCCGGTTTCCTGATCTGGGTATATTTATTTCTGCCACCCTGGTGCTCCACCTCCGAGAGGTGCTCCACCTCTGACAAACCCAGCCATGAGCAGCCAGCCAGCACGGCCATCCATTTGCACAAGTGGTTGCCACATCCTTTCCCTCAAAAGCGGGACGGACACAGGTGCATGAGAGGTCTCCCTCCTCTTCACCCTCTGCTCATCTCACACCCGTGTTTTGCTGTTCCGCAGGCATGTTTCGAGCAGCGGTCCCCAGCGGTGCGTCCACTGGTATCTACGAAGCGCTGGAGCTGCGAGACAACGACAAGTCGCGTTTCCTTGGAAAAGGTGGGGAGATGCCTGCTCCGCACCCCGTCCCCGGGGCTGCCTGTGTGTGGGGCTCTGCC